TTTTGAATTGAATTGAATTGAATTTGCCTTATTTTACGTGGCGAGACTCGGGCCATCAGGCCCGCTCTTCCGTCTGACCACGCAAATTTCGCTACGCTCCTTTCACCAACTAGCAGATAAAGGAGGTATTTCTTGGGCAAGAAACAGGCGATTTGAATTTAGCTCAAGAGGCGTCATTTAGGCTTGAGGATCTTTTACATGCAAGTAAATCTACTAACATGGGACAGCCGGCTTTACTTCCTCTCCGAAGGAAGGCGTACGAAGGATTTTTTCGCCCTTAAAAATCCACGGCTTCGATCGGGTTTGAACCCGCCAACGGGTACAACAGTCCAAACTTCCGTCCAATACTTGACCGTTCATTAGATTTAATATTCTTGCAACAGTAACTAATCATGAAGTATTTAGTTATTTGTCTTCTGCTTCGATTATCAGCCATGCATTTCAACAGTTAGTGGAACAAGCTTGTAAAGAAACGTATCAGAGGGGTTAGATAGGACACCCTTGATTCTGACCAGTCAACGTCGTCTCATGATACATTCAATAACTAAACAAAGTTAACCGCACGTTCGTGTTCCGAATAAAACTATTCACACGACAAAAAGACGTTATAACTTTAGCAAGGAGGGACAGTAAAAGTTTCATAATCGGTTCCTTCAATATGTGCAGTTAACATATCGTTAACAATCACACAAATCTACGATTTGACTGAAAACTTACAAGTCCACACGCACGTACTCATTTCATAGACCAATGAGCACATCCGCTGACATTTCTGATTTAAGCAAGCGATCTAATGTTCGTAGCCTTATTTAGAAATTGAAGTTCTTCCTTGCATCTACAATCAGCTATGATTTCACAAGCAAGAAGAGCAGTTATTCAATGCTGATCCTCGCTGCTTAGCTTGGCAATGCGGACGGAGAAAACACGCTTTTGATTCTCCAATAGGAATGCGTTAACGACCATATTGCTGAAGACTGATCTTTATTGTTTAAGGGAATCACGTCACGAAACAAAATAAGACTAGGAATTCTGAGAACTTTCATTCAGCAACTAGGAAAGAAATCTCACATTTATATGCTTTTTCAAACTTATCTAGGAGCTAAAAACTGACTGAACGATTACATTTTGTGGTAAAACGAGCTTAAATAACTTAAGTTGTAACTGAAAAGCAAATTAAATCTCTTAAACATAAGTTGTTTTCAAATATGCCATTAACGAAAGTTTTCTTCAAAGAAATACTCCCAAGATTACCCAACGCATATATTTTTCAGTCCTTTCCATTTTGGTAACTTTTACTGGAAGTTGCAAAACTAAAAAGAGCATTCGGGAGCATTCGCGTTTTAGAAGACACGAATTCTACGTTCCAATCAGCAACCAAGCAGTCTACTGGATATCGCGAAGATGAAACACACAAAAATCAAGTGACCAAAATCATTCTTCAAAAGCTCTGTAATTTTGTCGTTCTGTATTTATATTAACTCTTATTTTTAGTTTTATTGCAACTGGGACGCGAGTTCAAGCAGCTCGTTAGAAGGCAGAGGCGAGCTGTACGGTTTATCAAGCAGTGGCCGTCGAAACGTCACGTCGGAATGATGTCACGGCATTTAGCACAATTACCGAGCGGCAACGAATCACATCGAGCGCTTTAAACTTATAAATCCCTTGGTTCTCAGAGAGTCTGCATGTTTATAATTTACTGTGTACGTAACGGAATTTGTCCTACTTATTTCGATATTTAAAAACTATTGAAATAAACAAAATTTATTTAATACTTAGCAAATAGTCAATAGTAAAGAACTCGACAGCAAAATTACTTTCAAAGTCAAAATGGTGAATGAAGCAAATGGGCTGTAAGTGAAAATGCGGATTTCCAACAAAATTTTGACGACACGTTGGAGAAATGAACGCCATTCAAACGTCTTCCACAAATCAAAACCATAAAACATGGATACACTCTTGAAACCAACAGCACCTGTCCATTTAGTGGACAAATCCGGGCATGCGTGATCTAAGAATCCTACATTTCCATTATCACCTATGCTCATAGAATCCGTACTTTTCGAGGAATGAGAAAAGGCGCCCTATACTGGGGAGATTCTCGGAATCCCTAGAAACAACCCCAAATAAGCGACTACCGATATTCCCGCTAACGATTAGTAAGGTCTTGTTTGTATTGATTGCATCTGTTTTCCCGATCGAAATTTATTCCTTTTAATCCTTCTCGCAAATTCTCATTTCAAGCGTTTCCAACAAAAAAATGCTATCATATTTTATCGATATGATCTCATCCTCTATAAAACTTCGCAATGACCGTGTTCGAACTCGCACGTTGCTTCAGCGTGACGACGTAGCCGAGAACGTGGCTTCGCGCGAGCGGCCGACAAAAGAAAAGACCTCTGCGCCATTGTCAGCGGAGGTCCATTTGGCGAGGCGCGAGACAAAAAGGGCAAGTCGGAAGTGGGCCGGCAGCGCACAGGGCCCGACGCTCAACGGACGAGGCGGGGCCGCCACCAACCGCCCGCCGACTGCAACGTGTGTGAATTAGGGCCCCGCCCAGGTACCACATTCCTGCTGCCCGGCAACCGGCGATTCGCCGCCGCCTGTCCACGATTCACACTGGCGGGCAGGGCCACACGTGAAAACGGACTCCCGGAGAATAAAATGTAAACGATAGAACCTGAAAAAAAAGTTATTTGGCAGTGCCACGAGGAATTGAAGGGGCGCGGCAACAATAATCAATGCAAAGATAAAAAATTAAGGTCTTA